TAAGTTCTATGATGTGTCCATAACATCCGCAGTACAACAGCAAGTTTGTTTGTATAGTTAGTTGCGGTGTGCATTCTACTTCCGCCGCAGTTGTCGTTTTTCAAAAGTGAAGCTCCTTGCACACCGTCATAGCCAACTCTGGCCAGGTCGAACGGAAGACCATTCAAAACTTCCCATCGTCTCACATCGTATGCTGCTTACTGACGCCATGTGTCAGCGAGTAAGACTTTACCTATTTTAGCCATTATCATAACTTTCTATAGACATTTTCTGGTAGAGTGAGTCACGACTTAATTCAATGTAGTCTTCATCAAATCCGCATGACATTATTTGCAACAGCAACCATCACGTCCTGCCGATTCCGACTGTGAAGCTAGAAATTGGAAGTCGAAAACGGGTTTCCTGAGGCCTCTTGTTCGAATTAGGATGTGAGCACGAGCTTTCGCCAAGGTTAAGACGCAGAGTCGTTGTGAAACCCTGCGGTCATGAATGTATGTGTCATACGCGCTCTAGCCTTGCAGAGGGGCGGCGTCCGGCATTTTGTATGATCCGGGCCACTTCCGGGACAGAACTCAGATCTAGCAGACCCCCTTTTTCGTTCCGAACTTTAGCTTCGACTAGGTAGGGGGTCCACATAGCATCGCTACAACGGCGCCCTTCACTTTGCCTGGAGGCTGCCTTTGATTAACGGCCGAATTTTCTCATCGGCTTGCCACTTCCAATGAAACAAGGTCACTTCTGTGAGTCTAAGCAAGACTGCCCATCTCCCAAGTTCAGAGATTATGCAACGACGACATCAGAAGCTATAGGGTTACCCATGCGCTAGTCTACTACACAGCTGGAAACAATTCAAAGCCTCATGCCGGCGGCGACGGTGTAGACATTCGGGTACTAGATTTCGTTTCTATAGGCCGTCCGTGTAGCCCACGGAATTGCGTACTCGCTTGGTTCCTCCCGTGCAATTCTTTCATTCTGTTATGTATCCTATTCGTGAACTGTCTTCGATAGGCCAGCAGCGTTGTATTTCACGCAATACGCGGACGGCCTACGTGTACAAATGCACTCTTCAGAAGGTTAAGTACGTCGGCATTTCGGATAGAGGATAGAGAAATGTACGCACGATTACGATCAAGCAACAGAGAAAACTGAGAAAAGTACAAGAAAAATCCGGGCACTATGGCACCTCATCCTGGGAAGTGGGCAATTGCACACATCAGCAACAAAAGCTACTCGATGTACTACGAGGCGGTCGTTACACACAACCTTTACGTCACATAAGCACAAATTTACTGTTTCATTCTCGAGATCTTTAAGAGGAAGCTGAGAAACTGCGCTCCGCTGGAGCTAAATACGCCCAGCAAGTAGCCGAATCCACTGGAGTGAAGAGAAAACGAGGTGCGTTTAAGTCTCTCGATACATCAGTTGTATCGTTTACGTAGGATCAAATAGGTACGAATGTAGACGAATGTGCTATGCCGCTGAAGATGTTGAAATTCGGAACAAATGTTGATCTTTCGGATGATGTAAAATGGAAGGCCCAAATACAAGTGAGTTATTGTATGAACACTTGGCTTCTATGTATTGTGGTTTGAGGAACTTTCCAAAATGCCTCCTTTTTGTCGCATCATTGCGGGGTGCAATATGCTTTCGCATCTCGGACATACGGTTTTGGGAATGAATACTACTCAACTGTACATGAAGGTTTGCTCATTCTTAGCTCATTGCTTACGCGCGGATTGTTCGCT